AGGTGGGTGGTTTCCGGGGACCGGTCGCACGGATTGATGCGTCCCATTTCGGGGTTTTTATCCAGGAAGACGACAGTGACCAGCGGAGCTGAGCTTGCAGTGGTTGGGGCGGAGTTTTCAAACTTTGTTATCAACTCATTGCTTGGCCTCCTTTGGTAGCCCATTGTCAGACATGGCCCAGTGACGCCCTGATTGTTGGTGCTCATCCAATCGAGCTGTCGCCTTCAGTACATAGTTCCCCTCCCGATCTCGCCAATGAAAAGTCCACTGGGACCCCTGTATCTATGTATCAATTATGTCAGCTACCGCCCCGAATGTGTAGCTATCTACCCCACCTCCCCAAATCTTCGGTGAACGAAACTGTGGCAGCTAGAACCACCGGCGTACGGCAAGTATAAGATTTTCACAGCTGATGCTGATGATGACTGCAAATCACTCAACGTATGTTGTATGTCTAGCAGGGAGGTAAGCTATTAACAGTAATTTGATTTACATCAATCCGAGTTCGAACCCGAAATCGGGTTCCCAATGGGTTCAAGTACTGAATTTCCTGAAAACTGCAGGAAAAAAAAACCGGGTTCTGTTCATGGTAGTTCGTGACAGCCCGTACAGTGAACTAAGTTTTGTGCTAAGAAAACAAAAGGTCGTACCAGACACTAGAAACTACTGACGTAACGGTGATACTACTGATGGGAGTGGCATGCGAGTAGTATGTTTTTTCGTAAATCTGCTTCGCATTTCTTGAAAAGTGAGATCTTTTGCAGAACTTGTGGAGTCACTTTGTAGCATTTGCTTGGATTCGAGCAACAGTCAATGAATATCCAGGAAAGTTCAGAAAGACGCGTTCAAGGGAAGATGGATATTCAGTTTTCGTAAACAAGATGCAATTGAGAGTTTCGCTTCCCTGTCCAATGGTCTGTAACTGTTCAGTTGGTATTTCCTAATAAATAACTCCATAGCGAAGGTCTTCTTCCTCTCACTGGTAGTTAGTTGTCCACTAAGGTCATCACTTCTGTAGTTCCACTGAAACCCACGGCTTTAAACCGATGGTTCGAGTGAGTGGCACTCAGGTGAAAATCCCTATACTCTGTCAGCTCCATGGATTCAGATGGCTGCATTGCGCGATTCGATGTTCGGCGAAACGGACGGATTACGCCTGGATGGAAAAAGCTGGACAAGAACGATATTTGCGATCCAAAAAACTGCCGAATCAGACAGCAAACAGAGAATGGAAGCCATGCACTGTAAACGGACCAAACAACGAGTTAACTCACGCAGGTAGGTTAACTTATTGTGATCTTTTCACCTAAGGTTATATCGCAGTCTGTAGTAACGGTATTTTCATCAGCTTAGTTCTCGATCTGAGCCTCCCAAGCTAGCGTTCACGTCAAAACAACCACCAAAGGTGTACAAGGTCTATTAATGCCCAAAACGAAGTCGGGAACAGTTGTACAGCGCTTCGTATATATAGCGTAAGCGGTTATAACTTTCTGAAATTTCTGACGCGTTCTGGATGCGCTATTGGCAACCAGCGTTTGGCTAATACTGGGTCATGATTGGCAGTTGGGTCTAAATTATCGACCAATCAGATCTCGCCTTGATGCCGTACCGGCAAGCGTCCCGAATTCTTGGCCAGTCTCGTGCGGGCTAGGCTTATCGGCCGTAGCCGCGCCTGAAGACATATTATGTATGGTGTCGACCCCGGAAAAAATTATCGAAAATGTTCGTTTGCTTTCATCTCCTACGTCCCTACTTTTCCACGCTCCTTAGTAATGAGGCATTTAGAAAGCGTGTTTTCAGTTGTGTAACGGGTACTTCGATTGAAGAATCTGTCCAGCACCAGAAGCT